TACATCTTGTCTTGTTACTACACTCTCCTTGTAATTTTCCTATAAAAGACTATCAATACGAAAGTTGTCCCCGCGACATATACATTCTTTGCATTATCCTATTTATCATTTATTGGATTTAGTGATTCGGGTCTACCTCGGGTAATTAAATCCATCATTGGTGCTCTTGTTGAGAGTTGACGTACAAGCTCGAGCATGCTCCATATTCCATAGTAATGGCAAGGTCGAGGTCCAACTCTCGCGGCTCCCGTAACACCCGTGCCTCCCCTACCGGGGGTGGCCTCAACGGGACCACCAGTCAGCAACGAACCATTTCTTTGAGGTAGGCGGGTGACCTCAGAGATCACCTCACCAACCACCGCAATAGTGCGTTTGCCCTCCTCCTCCTCCAAATCTCGCTCTTTTCCTGGAGGGGGCGGCCGCCCTTCAGTAGGCCTCAGTGACACTGGCCCGCCTCGCGGAGGGGCTCCAAGGAGGTACGCAGGTCGGCCCAGAGGCCACCCGAAGGGTGCTGACCCCGCCTCTGCCTCCCTCGAGACGGCGCAGCGCTCAAGCACATGACCACCTCACGCGCCTGGCACCCTGGTCGAGGGCAGGCAAACTCGCCCCGACCCCCAATGTCGGGCCTCAACAGGGACATCATCACCCACAGGCTCGCCGTCGACCCCACAATCAAGCCAGTGCAACAACGCGAGAGGTACCTCTCCGCGGAGAGGAAGGAGCTCATTAAAAGCTCTTGATATTCCCTAACGGTAGTATCGGGGGACGCCCCCACTCACTACTAGGGAACCTACTCGGCCCAACCCCTCAACCTTGGTCCCGAACACATCTCCAAGATAGCCCGGGTAAAGGACCTCAAGAAGTCCAATTCAGAGGCCTACCTGGTCCTCCCCGTGTAAGCTCGAGCTCCCTGCTAGCTAGACTACCTTAAGGAGTATAAGAAGACAGGCGTCCTCCCCAAGACGAGGTGGACCTACTTGGCTTGGTCCCTCAACCTCGGCCACAAACACATCTCCAAGATAGCCCGGTTGGAGGACCTCAAGAAGTCTACTTCAGAGGTCTACCCGGTCCTCCCATGTAAGCTCGAGCTCCCTACCTACCTACTCCTCGAGGACACACTCCACGGAAGACCCTACAACGGCACCCTACTACGCTACCTATACCCCAAGGAGCGTCACAAGGGAGACCCCATTCTCCTCGTCCTACGACTTTGAAGCCCGAACCCCCTCTGAGGTAGCCGTACCTTTCCCCTTGGACAGAAGAATACGACCCCGGCCCCAACGAGGGCAACCACCGGACATCCTCATCGAAAATTACCAACACCAAGCTAAGGCCTATCGCGACACACGTGTCCGACCTCGTTACTCCCAGGTCGGCGACCACGCTTGGCGAAGGCGTGAGGCTAGCCAGCCCCAAGAGGGGGGGGCAAGTTCGCAAAGAGGTAGGAAGGCTCGTACATGGTAGCAACCTGGTCCGTCTTGGCAGCTACAACCTCAAGACAGGCTACCCTAAGGGGGCACGAGGCTCGACCTCGTGTACCAACCCCGACGGAAGAGCTTAACGGCCCAAGTCCGGTGACTTGGGGCCGACGGGCTTACCCTAAGGGGGCACGAGGCCTGACCTCGTGTACCAACCTCGACGGAAGAGCTTAACGGCCCAAGTCCGGTGACTTGGGGCCGACGGGCTTACCCTAAGGGGGCACGAGGCCCGACCTCGCGTACCAACCCCGACGGAAGAGCTTAACGGTCCAAGTCCGGTGACTTGGGGCCGACGGGCTTACCCTAAGGGGGCACGAGGCCTGACCTCGCGTACCAACCCCGATGGAAGAGCTTAACGGCCCAAGTCCGTGACTTGGGGCCGACGGGCTTACCCTAAGGGGGCACGAGGCCCGACCTCGCGTACCGACCCCGATGGAAGTGCTTAACGGACCAAGTTTGGTGACTTGGGGCCGACGGGCTACCCTAAGTGGACACGAGGCCCGACCTCGTTCGCCACCCGACAGAAGAGTTCTTGGACCAAGGGGGTACCTTAACCAAGCAACTACACCTACCAAAAAAAAAAAAAAAACTACTAAAGCTAGTCCATGGCAAGGGGTCTAACCTCTAAGTAGAGCCTAAACTCCGGGTCTGGGCCGAGGCAATGAGGATATTCATCAACTGAAGTCAAACACAGCCAAGGAGGGCGCAGGGGGACTCGAGCTTAGCCCTCCCAAGGCAACCTTAGCTGGGATTGTCCCGCCTAGAGGTGACCTCGGCTGGGGTAGGCTCGGCTAAGTTTGGCCTAGAGCCCAATTCTCTCTAACAAAGAGGCTACCACATGAGCTCACCCAAGAGGAGGACGCACCAAAGAGGCTACCTCATGAGCTCGCCCAAGAGGAGGACGCATCAAGGGGCTACCACATGAGCTCGCCCAAGAAGATGACGCATCATGGGGGCCACCCCATGTGCTGGCCCAAGAGGAGAACACATCAAGGGGGCTACCACATGAGCTCGCCCAAGAGGAGGATGCATCAAGGGGGCTACCTCATGAGCTCGCCCAAGAGGAGGACGGCTACGTTATGAGCTCGCCCAAGAGGAGGACGCATCAAGGTGACTCATGATGGATATATTAGGAGAAGGGACTCGGGGCAAACCTACCCGGGGTTTGCGGCGTGATGCGAATGGCCTGGGAGACCCCAACTGGGTCCCCGGCGTAGACCTCAGGTGAGGTCTACTACGTGGACCCCAGTTGGGGACGACCTCAGCGCCGGCCAAGGTCGGAGTCGACCTCGGCGTCGGCCTCGTGGTCGACCCCAGTTGGGGTCGGCCTAGGCCAGCTGAGGTTAGGTGGTCGCTCGCCCAAAAGTGAACTCAGAAATCAAAGTCTCATACACGATGCCAAGGAGTCGAAGACTTGTTAGTGTTCTTGCGGAAGAGAAGAAATCCCGATCGCGATGGAATCACACCAAAGTAGCCCAATGAGGAAGGAGGCGGGGCAGACGTCTTCCCGTGGGCTTGGGGTCAACCTTTGACTCGAGCTACTCTCTTTCGTTGACGAAGACTCGCAACTCAGAGAGTGGGGGACTCATGATGGATATATTAGGAAAAGGAACTCGGAGCAAACCGACCCAGGGGTCGCGGCGTGATGCGAAGGGCCTTGGAGACCTCTACTGGGTCCCCGGCGTAGACCTAGGTTGAGGTCTACTACGTGGACCCCAGTTGGGGACGACCCCAGAAGTCGGCCAAAGAGGAAGGAGGCGGGGCGGACGTCTTCCCGTGGGCTTGGGGTCGACCTTCGACTCGAGCTACTCTCTTTCGTTGACGAAGACTCGCAACTTAGAGAGTGAGGGACTCATGATGGATATATTAGGAGAAGAGACTCGGGGCAAACCGACCAGGGAGTCGCGACGTGGTGCGAAGGGCCTGGGAGACCCCAATGGGGTCCCCGCGAAGACCTCGGCTGAGGCTCGCGGTGTGATGCAAAGGGCCTGGGAGACCCCAACTGGGTCCCCGACGTAGACCTCGGCTGAGGTCTACTACGTGGACTCCAGTTGGGGACAACCTCAGCGTCGGCCAAGGTCGGAGTCAACCTCGGCGTCGGCCTCGGCTGGGGTCGACCTGGTTGGGGGCGGCCTCGGCCAGCTGAGGTTAGGCAGGCGCTCGCCCAAAAGTGAACGCAGAAATCAAAGTATCATACACGATGCCAATGATTCCAAGACTTGTTAGTGTTCTTGCGGAAGAGAAGAAATCCCGATCGCGATGGAATCACACCAAAGTCGGCCAAAGAGGAAGGAGGCGGGGCGGACGTCTTCCCGTGGGCTTGGGGTCGACCTTCGACTCGAGCTACTCTCTTTCGTTGACGAAGACTCGCAAATCAGAAAGTGGGGAACTTATGATGGATTTATTAGGAGAAGGAACTCGGGGTAAATCGACCCGGGGGTCGCGGCGTGAGACGAGGGGCCCTGGAGACCCCAACGGGGTCTCTGGCGTGGACCTCGGGCGAGGACTACCACGGGGGACCCCAGGGCGAGGACTACCACGGGGGTCTCCCCGCGTGATTCGGTCAACCAATATCCAACCGCCCGCCCTATTTTCTTGGGGTCGGTTGGGAGGATTATTTAGTATAAAAAGGGCATATCCTTGCCTTGCTAAGGACATCTACATCTTGTCTTGTTACTACACTCTCCTTGTAATTTTCCTATAAAAGACTATCAATACGAAAGTTGTCCCCGCGACATATACATTCTTTGCATTTTCCTATTTATCATTTATTAGATTTAGTGATTCGGGTCTACCTCGGATAATTAAATCCAATCAATATATATATATATATATATATATATATATATATATATATATATATATATATATATATAGGTTCAAATGCGACACCCTGTTCCTGTGCGATCGTGCGAATTATACCACCATGTATACACGTATGCACCACCACATCTTCAAAAATGCACCTGCGTAAATTGGATCATTCAACAATCAACGTCCCCCCACCCCACTCCCCCTCCCCACCTAAAATCTCCTCTTCTTATTGTCAAATCCCCCTCTAGCTCTAGTATCAATGAACCTCATTCGAGATAAATAACTCAATTATATCGATAAAGAACCTACATTATATTACTACATATACATGATTTAAAATTCTTGATGCCATACGCTTATCTGATACACATTCATCCATCCAATTAAGGTGCGTTAAAAAATATCGAAACAACTTAGTTAATTAAGTAATAAATTCAATACTAATGAAGAATTGATTAGAACTAATAACTATAGATACATGATGCATACACCCATCCGGGCCTTAGCTTGTCAACTATTCAACGCCTTGATATCTAATAATTAATAATGAAGAAGGAAATTGCTAGGCTCCATCCCCTCCTTGAAAATAACCCCCCAAGCAACCGCGTTATTATATCACACGCTCTCTCCTCCTCTTACCAATTCCACATTTCACACATCCAAACAAACCATATATATACAATACAACTCCTCCACTTCTTCATCAATTCTCACAACTTTCTTTAATTTTTTTCAATTGCCTCAACCCAACTAGACTAAAAAAGCTCCATTCTAGATATGCCGGAACCGCACTTGAACGGAGCCTACTACGGGCCATCCATCCCACCGCCGGCAAAATCCTACCACCGCCCCGGCAGCGGCAGCAGCTGCAACCCCTGCGGCTGCCTCTTCAGCTGTCTCTGCAATTGCCTCTGCCAGATCCTCTGCACCCTCCTGGTGGTTCTGGGCGTGGTGGCGCTGGCCCTCTGGCTCGTCCTCCGCCCCAACAAGGTCAAATTCTACGTCGACGACGCCGCCCTCACCCAGTTCGACCTCTCCACCACCAACAGCTCCCTCTACTACAACCTCGCCCTCAACTTCACCGTCCGCAACCCCAACAAGCGCATCGGCATCTACTACGACCACTTCGAAGCCTCCGGGTTCTACAAGGGGCAGCGGTTTAGCACCCAGAACCTCCCCACGTTCTACCAGGGCCACAAGAACACCACCGCCCTGAGCACGGCGTTCAGGAGCAATAACATCGTCTCCCTCGACTCCAGCGACCGGAATAGCTACAACGACGAGAAGAGCCGCGGGGTTTACGAAATCGACGTCAAGCTTTACCTGAGAATTAGACTGAAGATTGGGTGGATCAAGACTAAGAAGATTAAGCCCACCATCGAATGCGATCTCAAGGTTCCTTTGCAATCCAACGGCAGATCGTCTGGGAGTTTCGAGCGGACTAGGTGCCATCTTGATTGGTAGATGTAGATGATGATGGGCCCTACCGTACCCATTCTTGTTTATGCATTTCCATTGCTACTTATTTTTCAGTATTTTTTTCCCCTTTTGGGAGTTACATTTCAGCGCATTATTATTATTGTTATATATTCATTTGTATGATCTTGTTGTCCTTCTCCATTCATGGACTGTCTGTCTGAGTTTTTGTCGTAAATAAATAATAGCATTTTCTCTTAAACTCTCTCCAACTATTTAAACATTTCATAAACTCATAAATCATAAAGATAAATTCACTCTATTTGGTAACATAATTAGCTTATCAGCTAGTTTTGACTTATTTGATATTTATTAGTTGTTTAACTTGGTTAAACAGTCAATATAAGTGTTTAACTAATTAGTTTTTTTGTAACAGCTTATTGTTTCAAAATGCTAAAATTCAAAAAGCTACTCAAAAGTAATTTTTTCAATCAGTTTTTGAGAAAATCATTTTGTATGTAATCACTAATCAGTTATCAATTAACAACTAATTTATCAAACATCTTTCTACAGTTATCAACTAGTCAAACTTAGTAATTCAATCACCTAACAGCTATTTACCAAACACTCTATAGTATTTTTCTAAAAGAGATTTACTACATGTACTTCCAATTCATAATCATCAAATTTACTTCTTGATGTGGAGGACACTGATAGATTATTTTCTTCATGTGGATTCTTATAAATGTGTACATCAAAATTTTAAAGATGAGAATAAAAGTTAGAGTAGAGAATGTAATTACATGTATATAGTACGTAGTATTTTACTTTTTAAAATTAGCTTTATCCAAACGGAAAGGGACAACTAACGAATTGAAGCTAAAGTTGAATTGAAGAAAATAATACTGTTTCATGTGCCCTACCTTTTCAAAGTGCAGATTATTGTTGTTATTATTATTGTATCTAGTCACTTCAATGATGCATAAAATTGACATTTTCTCGCATAAATATCAATAGAATAATGCACTAGAGATTTTCTTTAGAACTAGTAAAGAAAAGAAAAACATATATTATTTAATTACATTGCTTTAATTTGCAAAAAACTTGTAAATTGCTGCGCAAAAGTTTACTTTAGGTGAAGTTCATTCCAACAATTAAAGGACTATAAGGACGTAAGCTAACCTAGATTACTCATGTGTTCTGAGTGAATCTCATTTTAATCGCCAAATGATCATAATGAGGCCGGTAAACTAGTCTAAGTTATTATAGCTGATTGGATCAAACAAAGAAGATCGATAAACAATTTTAAAGAAGAATTAAACTTAGAACATTGTAGTTATCAAGTCAACTCTCAAATCAACTTGGTTGGAGTTGCTCACATTAGACGATAATTTAATTCTAACCCTCTTTCATGAGGTTGGGATTTTAGTTCATTGACTTGTTAACAAAGACTTTAAAAGTTTTAAATTTACATACTATATTTTTTTCCATTTATTAACAAATAGGCTCTACATTTGCAATACAAATGTGAATAACTTCAATAGTATTTGTTAATGGAAAATCAAAACTCTCACCTATGATCAATTTATGAGTAAATAATACTTATTTCGATAATTTATAAGTTAAAATTTCTTGTGAGATTGGAGTGTTGAGCACATAATATATAAATATAAATGTGCAATCCGACTATCAATTTAGGCTTTTAGTTTAGATGAAGTACATGCTTCAATTTGAAATCAAAATCAACCTCATGCTAAAGGTCATGGGTACAGTTCGAATCGCCGCGTCACCCGATAAAAAAGAGATAATGATCCAGGTGTTGCTTGGAGCCCATAAAAAAGTAATCGACCTGCATATATGAGAGGCATGTTGAGCATATATATACTAGTATTTTTTAATCGCGCAAAACATATGTGCCCAGTATTAGCACTTTATATTATAATTTAAAATTTATTTAGATTTTAGATGTTTAAATTATTGTAAATAATAATTATAATAATAACAATGTAAAATATTTTTATAAATTTGATATTTATATTTAATTTTATGAAATAACTAACATATAACTCCAATATATAATGTCTATATATTATAATTATTATTATTGAAGATAAGAAAATATTTGGTAGATATATGTGCATAGTAACAATAGTGGAAAAGATAACGGAAGTTATAACGGCAGAGATATATTTGTCCAAAATATTATATAGTACAACTTTTATAACATAATGTATAAAAAAACTTGACGGAAAAAATGAACATAAATGAAGGGTATAACCTTCATTCACACTTATTATGTTTTTAGATTATATATATATATATATATATATATACATACATACATACATACATACATACATACATACATACATACATACATACATACATATATATATATATATATATATATATATATATATATATATATATATATATATATATATATATATATATATATGCAATCTAACTGTCAACCAATTGTTATACCATGGACCAGGATTCATATTGCATTGTAAACCTTGATACAAAAATTCTGTACCTTCAGTTAACACATTTTGTACATATAGTTAACAGTTTCTGTACATGTAAACAAATAACTTGGTAACAGTCGTTATATTATAGACCGCGGTGCATGTTCGTTATATTAGAGTTAACAAAGTCCGCTTATTTGGTGTATTAAACACCAACTGATACTATAGTATATCTAAACTGAAACTGCAGTTATATCAAAATAATACTGTAGTTATAGTGAAATGAAACTGCAGTGTATATAAAATGAAACTGAATAACATTTCACATATTTGAGTGTATATTGTACAATGAAGCTGTAATTATATCAAAATGATCATGTAGTTGTGTTTTAATGAAACTATAGTGTATATAAAATAAAATTAAATAACATTTTCACATATTTGAGTCTATAAATATCGAATGAAACTATAGTTATATCGAAATGAAACTGTAGTTGTGTTGAACTGAAACTGTAGTGTATACAAAATGACACTAAATAACAGAGTTACTTTTTGCAAAAGGGTGCGAAACGGCGGAAACTAACACTTTTTATTTTCATTTAAAAAAAAAAAGACGCGCAATGCATAATCGATTATGCACCGCGGTGCATAATATACACTTGGTAATTGTTGACATATAATATGATAGTTACAGGTACATAAACTATCAACTGCAGCCTGCATGTACATAATGTGTCAACTATAGATACAAAATCTGAATGTCAAATAACTTGATAATTGCTGACACATAATATGATAGCTACAAGTACAAAAACTATCAACTGCAGTCTGCAGATACAAAATGTGTCAACTATAAATATAAAATCTAAAGGTTATTTTTAGATCAGGGTCTATAATGCAAGGTAGACCCTGGTTCATAGTATAATTTGTCACTATCAATTTAAGCTTTTGATTGAAATAGAACACATACTTGAATTTTGGGTGCATCGTGAAGACTCTTGGGGTAAAGAATTTTATCTTTTATCAACAAGAAATTAAAGTCGCTGTTTCATAGAAATATACAGAGGAAATATGCTATTTTATTAAAATAAAATTATGTTAGCGCGTGTAAAAATTCAAGAATATCGGATATTGACCGAGGAAAAGAGGTCAAGTTTGAAGTGGCACGTACGTTACGGTTTGGATGATTGAATGGGACAAATGTAACGATGCTGTAATTTGCGGCACAGAGAAGGGATTGAAACAATCGAGGTCAGACCATCATACAATTGACAATCCATTTGGATTCCCGTTTAAGGTTGATATCTAATTATCTAGTTGGATATAATTTGAGTCTGTGTATTTGTTACGTACATTATTTTATTGGTGACGTTAAATTTGTAATATAATGTTAGTTGTAATTTTGTAATTCCACAATGTGAATGAGATAGAACTATTTCATAGAGTTTTTTTTTTTTTTTTTTTTTGAATGTTACTGGCCCTATTACATTGTATTATCTGTTCATATACTTTCTCAATCAATAACGCATCCACTAAGGCTCAAACTCGTAATCTTCCAAATGGAAGTCCAACCCGGGTACCATTAGACCACATAGTCATAGAGTTTAAATTTACTTAAACTTTTAAGTTTGAAATTACGTAAAAGAAAATTACAATTCATTCCTACCAAAGAGTTTATAATTGTATTTATTGAAGAAATAATTGAATTGCACATTAACACTTATTGAACCAAAAATAATTTTTTTTTTTTTTAAAATATCAAAGATAATTTTTGTATGCAAAAATGGGGGAGTGATTTCTTTAAAATTTTTATTGAAGTGTTTCAACTTATGATGCATTTGAAAATTTGAAAAAAAAAAACTTTTGAAAGTTATTCTTTAAAATTTTGGTATTTGGTTATCAAATGAAATAAGTCAACAAATAATATTCATATTCATCAGAGGAAAAATGACGCATTTTTGAAGAAAATATCTTTTAAGATTTTTACTCAGAATACATTATTCGAATCCCTTTCTCACACTCAATTTTCTCCCTCTCTCTCCCTCTCTCTCTCCCTCTCTCTCACTAAGTAGTGTCATGTGGGCAAATTGATCTATCATCTATTTGGTTATTATTTCAACTAGACTGGAATGACATTTTTAAAATATTGACCGGGTCGGGTCAGATCAAATAATAAAAATTTTAGCTCCACTACGCCTGACCCAAAGCCCACAAGATTAAAAATTAAGTTTTTTTTCTTCAATCTCTTTAATTTAGAGTTATTACATTCATTACAATAGTTATGCTGTGGAACCGTGTTCACTATGTATTAGAGGATACATTAGCCAAGTCAAATGCAAATTCAAATAGTTAGTTGTTTCTGTTAAATCGGTTAGCTTGTAGTTCAGAGTTCAGCTTCCTTGTATATAACCTTTCAGTTCTGCAGTTGGTAAAAAGATGATGAGAAACCTTTCTTTTTCTTTCCAATCTGTTAAATCTTCACTTCCAAATCTTGTCATGGTATCAGAGCTTCATTGATACTCAATCAATGGCGTGGGCATTACCATCGGTTAACACTAATCGGCAACAACCTTCTAGCTCGTTGCCACACCCGATTGCTACAGAGAATCCGATCCCAATTCTAAACCCTAATCCAACAGCAACTTCGACAAATGCTGGAAATTCGATCCACTTTGATCCGAATGATAGCACCAGTCCGTATTTTCTCCACGCAAATGAGAGTCCGGCATTGGAGCTAGTTTCCTCTGTGTTAGATGGAAGCAATTATCATGAATGGGCGATAGCAATGAAG